TTGTAGAGATGATCAAAACTAAAAAATTAGCAGGAAGAGCAATACTCTTGGCTGGTCCCCCAGGAACAGGAAAGGTCTGTAGAATAAAATCATTGCTGTTTACTTAACATAAGTAATTGGGCTGTTACCAGGACCCAGTTGTACGAAGGTTGGATAGCACTATCAGGTGAATAAACTTTATCTAGCAGATAAATTTATTTTGATAACAGCACAGACTTATCCACTGAATAAGGAATTATCCATTGGATTACACTATCCACCCTTTGTACGACCAGGCCCAGTACTGCAATATGATTGTGTTTTTGATCTGTCAGTCACAGCTCATTAGTAGAGAAAAATGATTCATTTGAATACATTTTGCTGGTAAAGTGTTTTTGGTAAAACAGTTTTTTTTTGTATATCCTTCATCTGTCTCATAAGTTTGTTTGTTACTACCTTAGCATCTGATAGAGTGTGTGGAGGGGAGAAGAATCAAAATTTTGCAGAAAGTGTTAAAATCTTTTGACAGTTTAATTTTTTTTAATTTAGATTTTTATTGTAAATACTACCAAAAACATCTAATTTTGTTGATAACTATGATTGGACAAAAATTGTCAAAATTCTGCCAATCATAAGTCAATATTATAAAAACTAGTCTTTAGGGTCTTGCAATAGCTGCAAATACATTAATGGCAAAAATAAATAAGAAGTAGTGTAAACAGCTGCCTAGAAATGACAAATGTGGAAGGTAATTTTAGTTCAGAAGAAATATTTCTGAATTTGTATAGGAAATCCCACTAACTTGAGTACTCTCCAGAATTTATAGGTACAGGTATGAGTGATGTTTCAAATGTTTTCAAAATTGGCTGAGCCTTTAAGTGAGCCCAATTTGAAAACTTTCAAAACATTAGAAAAAATTCTCTGTTAATGAGCAAAATTTAGAAAGTTCATTACTGTACTGTACCTTCTCCAAACTGCTGCTTAAAATCCATTCTTGTTGTGGGTCTAATAGTCCCCTTCACGGTTCCCTGCGCCATCTTGAAAGGTAGCCGGGCCTTTGCATCTAAGTGAGATGGACGGTGAGCTTGCAGTGATAGGGACATGTGAATAATTGTTTAAGGTGTTAAAAAAAGGTCTCTATCATTGCAAGCTCACTGTTCCTCTCGCTTCGATGCAAGGGCACGGCTACCTTTCAAGATGGCGCAGGGAACTGTGAAAGGGACTATTCTTATTGATGTACAAAATATAAAATATGTGAGATGTAATGTGTGCACTTCATGTAACAGTTTAGAGATTTGCCTACATTTTACATAGCTTATTAAATTATCGTCTTACTATTTTATCTTACTATAACTATCATATCAGACTGCTTTAGCTCTTGCTATTGCTCAAGACCTTGGACCAAAAGTGCCCTTCTGTCCAATGGTTGGCAGTGAAGTGTAYTCTTCTGAAATAAAAAAGACAGAAGTTCTTATGGAGAACTTTAGAAGAGCCATTGGTCTYAGGATCAAGGAAACCAAGGAGGTGTACGAAGGGGAGGTGAGAGCTGCACTTAAATTTACATTCTAACAACAGAGTTCATACTATCTCCTTTAACTTTTTTAGTTTTGAAGGGCGCTTGAAAAGCTTTTGAATCTCAGCAGTAATTTCTGCTCAAACTCCTTGATGTATACTTTAATAGATAATGGTCAGGGACTCCAATGTTACTCACCCAAAAGTTTTGATGATCATTGTTAAGCTGCATAAAAAGGCTGCACATGAACAATGCCAGCAAATATCCTCAAGCTTAAACATTGCTTTTCTAAAGTCTTATTGCACAACCACTATGGTCGCAATAATGATCAAAAGTCTTATATAAAAGTAAAGCAGGCATTTCTCCCCTCTAATGAGACATACTGGGCAGGACTTGTAGCAAGTGACCATGTGAGTTTGCTTTTAAATTCTAAATAAAAATTTCTCTGWACCATAATAACTATGATAATACTCACTGAAAAACTGTTTAGAAATTGTTAGAAATGTCATGTTAGAAATTATTGCTCATAACCTTAACAAAATAACTGTTATGAATGTCGCGTTCTGATTGGCTTGGAGAGAGTGCTTTATGAGAGCACATAGCACGCATGCACACTTTCCATTGCATCATTCCTATCTAAAATAACGGTTATTGTAATTTATATTTCATAAAAGAAATAAAAAACTTGCTTGCTGTGCTGTGTGCCATTATAAAGCACTTGGGGATTGGCAGAACACTCGAGTAGCGTCCAGAAGCACTCCGCTATGCGTCTTGCTTCTCCTAACACTTCTCTCGTGTTCTGCCAACCCCCGCATGCTTTATGACTGCACACAGCAAGCGCGCACGTTTTCTATTTCTTCAATAATAGTTGGAAAAGTGTTTGTTTTAATATGTTGCTTGGTAATGGAATTGAGTGTCTTCAGTTGATCACCTTGCTAGTAGGGTGTATAGGAGGTTCAGCTTCCCAATCTTCTCAGGGAGTTTTTTACAAAAGAAAAATTTGCTTGATGGCCAATGGTTGCACCCGGTTGACATACATTGCATGTGTTATCAAAGGATTGATTGACCAATTAACACTTTGTTCACTTTATTTAAACTTGTTCTATATAAGAGTGAATGCAATGAAAGATGTCATATTTATTAAAACACTGGAAAGGAAATAAACTATAACTATTTAAATATGTATATAACTTCTGATTGTACTTTAGGTTACAGAGTTAACACCTTGTGAGACAGARAATCCCATGGGAGGTGAGGTTCTGACTTGATTGTACATCTTTACATGTTCCCATATATTACATCTACATATCAGTGATTAAGCGTTTTAATAAATGTTTGTACAGGTTATGGAAAGACTGTCAGCCATGTCGTCATAGGACTAAAAACTGCAAAAGGAACTAAACAACTTAAGGTATTAATTCATAAAATGGTATAATGTAATTTTTTGTCTGTTGTTTTCCTTAAGATGCATTGTATTTACTTCATTTGAATGTCTTGCTTTACAGTTAGATCCCTCGATATATGAAAGCTTACAGAAGGAAAAGGTTGAGGTTGGAGACGTGATATACATAGAATCCAACAGTGGTGCAGTTAAGGTAGTTAGTTAMTCCTGTAAATCTTGTCTCTATTACACTGTTCTCTATTACAATCTTAGTTTTTGAGGAGTGTWGGTCAAAAAATAAAAACAAAAATGTCTGTCATAAAGATCAAAGTTGTTGACGAATCATGCATACTATGTATCTATGTAATGATATTATCTAAATGTAGAACAGCAGTCCTTACATATGACTTTGATGTCCTGAAATCTGTTATGATTTAGGAAAAATACAAAATTTATTATAAGAGATATAAGTTATGTTTCAACAAGCTAAGTTTTCTCCAGGCCAGGGAGTGCCATTAACCTACAGAGAAAATTCACCATTTTGAAACATAACTTATATCTTTAATAGTTTACCAAGCACTTAACCTGATAAATATATATATATTTTTTATTCTATCAGAGACAAGGTCGTTCAGATACGTTTGCGACTGAGTTTGAYCTAGAAGCTGAAGAGTATGTCCCTCTACCAAAAGGAGATGTACACAAGAAAAAAGAGATTGTACAAGATGTTACACTACATGATTTGGATATTGCTAATGCCAAACCACAGGTACATCGCAGTTCCATTGATAAACAACTATATTCTCCTACTTTGTAAARCTCTGCTGTTGGGATTTGTTTAGAGGAGAATATAGATCTTGATCTTAGGGCCTCTTTACRAAGAGAGAGGGTAATCTTACTATAGGGCTTCCCTTTGTTCTAGATTTTCTTCTTGTTTATTTTAAGATTGATATACAAGCAAACCAAGGTGACCCTACTGTAGTTAGTACTAGGGTTATACTGTCTGTTTAACAKTAACCCAGGTTTCCCCCTGTACCCTCTAAACTACATGTAGTACCTCGCCTTTTGTTTGGAACAACATTTTGTAAGTTCTGTAGCACAAATATTTTGGCCATTATCATATTTAGGTTTTTCACTGTGGTGTCACGTCATCTAACATTTTTATTTGTTCATTTGTTTTATCAGGRGAAAAAACAGTTTACATTCAAATCTTTAGATTAACCAAATTTTATTTAMAGCATGATGTCACATGGAAAACCTCAATACTGTAGCTGTAAATTAACTCCTGACAAAWACAATAATAACAGGAATAATGAAAATGTTAAAATAAAAATTGCTGTTATTATTTTCTCATTTTTTATTTTATATGTTGAGCTCGTTAACCATCCTTCATTTCAAATCCTGTTTTTCATTCTTTTTATTGGTTATTAAGGGGTTTATTAATATTGTTTACTATTAGGGTGGACAGGATATCATGTCAATGATGGGTCAGCTGATGAAGCCAAAGAAGACTGAAATTACTGGTATGTGAAGTAAGAATGATATTTATAAATGAACATAAACCTACATCTTTTTATTCAGCATACATATCAATCAAGGAAAGAAAACAGCAAAACCCTTTTCAACCCGCAAGCATACTGTAGATGCTTTAATACTGTAGTGAGATGACTAAATGCTTTTTGCTTAACTTTGTTTTCAGATAAGTTAAGAAAAGAAATTAATAAGGCAAGTTTTGTTGTGTAAATGTTTTGAATAAAGAATGTTATCACGATCATCATTATATTGTACTTTTAAAATAGTTGTAGTAGAAATAGTACTAAATAGGTCAAGTTGAGGGAAAACTGGCTGTAGTAGGCATTGCAATGTATCGTGGGACTGTTTGAAAGGGACATATTTCCAAGATAGCATCTATTTTGTCCCCTAAAACAATCTAACAATGCACTGCAATGCCAACTTGACAGTTTTCCCTTGTCTTGGGAATGGCTCATAGTATTATTAGTAGTATTGTACTTCTGAAATAGTCTGTAGTAGTGTATCTTCACTTACTCWGTCGTCTAGCTATCAACATCAGTAGGGCTAGTAGCAGCAGCAGTACCATAATATAAGCTACTACCATATCTTGCAGTCTTGAAACTTTCTTCACAAAATGAGGATTACTAATAACTAGTGGTGATTATGACCTACAGGTTGTAAACAAATACATAGATCAAGGAGTAGCAGAACTTGTGCCTGGTGTACTATTTGTTGATGAGGTATGTAAATTCAACAAATCCTTCAAAGATTCCTATTGATTGTCTTCTTATTGATCAAAGAAGATGGCTTACAGCTGTAAGATGTTTAAGACTAAAGGGGRATCACAAGCGCAGCRAGATCACAAGATTTGAAGACATCATCTACGATCAATAAGAGGACATTCAAAAGAAATCTATGGGCAATTTGTTYTTTACAATAACAAAATCCAAAAAACATCCAAAAACAAGAGAAAAGTTTTAAAGAAAAATGGTTTCAAGGGTCCGCCATTGCTGTGCATATTTGATTCTTCATTTTATTTGTCTGTCTTCTTATTGATCATAGTTGTCAGCCAATCAAATTGCAAGATTAAGCTCTTTTATTTGTAAAAAAATATCTGTACAATAGCTTAGCGTTTTTGGACACACCTAACCCCAATACATATTAATAACAGGGTTTGTACSTCATGWWATTCCTGGTARACCCMCTGAAAYTCCACCCATATATATGTGCATTTTATAAGGCATTAGCCTGTTCCATACTTAACTCTCTCGAAAATGTTTGTGTTATGTAGGTGCATATGTTGGATATTGAGTGTTTTACCTACCTTCACCGTGCACTTGAATCTACCATCTCTCCTATTGTTATCTTTGCTACCAATCGTGGTAGCTGTACTATCAGGTAAATAATTCATGTTATGCTAGAGTATAGCTCATGTGTAACAAAGCCTCTTGAGATTGGTGCAACCAAACACATTAAAATCTTGCAGCAAACACTGTCATACCAAGCCAAACACAAAACGTATTCTAGAACTGATATGCTGTTGGGTGTCTTTATAATAAATCTTTAAAATATATCTCCCGCAAAAATAAAAGATTTAAAATCAAGGTTTAGGACTTAACGCGTCCGACACCAGGGGGAAACGTTTGCGCATGCGTACACTTCAGCACGTTTTCTAAGAATTTTGAAGAGTTTGAGCAGTGAGAAAATCAATGTTTGTTCGCTCCAAGTATGCAAAAAAGTTCGAGAGTATACTTTTGTCAGACCAAGATATTGTATTAACAAACTCAATATGAAAGAATTAGTCTTAAGTTTCAGGCATGGACACTAAGTTTTGGCATTTTGTGAAGTTCAATTTATCAGGCATGTTTGGAAGTCAAATTTACTTATGTTTGGACTAATATGCATTCGAATTCAGAGCATGCGCAGACGTTTTTCACTCTTGTCACCGCGTCCATCATTAGAATATAAAATCAATGGTAAAACAAAAACCTCATATGGTAAACTATTCACAATTCAAATGACAAAAAAGCAACTGTAGAAAGTGTTGTTTATGTAGAACTTAATTGTAATGTGTATTGTAATGTGTATTGTAATGCTGCAGAGGTACAGATGTGGTGGCTCCCCATGGTATCCCACTAGATCTACTAGACCGTGTATTAATAGTACGAACACTACCATACTCCCAAGAAGAGATGGTCCAGATCATCAARATACGTGCACAAACTGAAGGTATACAGTTGGACGAAGAATCCTTGGAACTGTTGGGAGAGACTGGAACAAAGACTACACTAAGGTAATCTATTCACGTGCTTCACTGCTGGCAAAAAGCCTATTTACGAAGAGGAAGGGTGACCCTAGTGCTATTTAGACTTTATTTTGAATTCGCTCTAAGATTAAGTTCAAGGATGTCCTCTTATAACACTGTCCGATGTTCACGCCACAGATTACTGAAGACTTAATAGTTAACGAGTCTTGAGGAAGAGTCCTCTTAGCGCGCTGCGCTATGAAAAGGCTGGCTGGCTTTCTGTTTGTTTTTGTTTGTTTTTGTTTGTTTGTTTGTTTGTTCGTTGTGAAGAAGAGTGAAAAAATTTGAGTGCTCTTGGAAGCCGCTAATAAGATCCTCCACAAAGTTACATGGATTCTATTTCTATTCTAAGGCTCAGGTCAAACGTCGAACTTCACAGTAGCCGAACTTAATAACATCAAAGAAGATCGCCTTGTTATTCATTATTTCAATTTGGTTCGGCTCATGTGAAGTTCGACGTTTGAACTGAGCCTAAGACCTCCTTTTCTAACATATTTCATCTTTTATTCCAGATATGCTGTACAGTTGTTAACACCATCTAATGTCTTGGCACGAATCAACGGTAAATGCATGGAAACGTACATTGATCTTTTTTCTAAGTAAATTCTCAAATTTAGTTCGYATCTCGTTCTGGACAAAACTTTACCTTGCTTCAGTCACATTATAAACCTTTTTACCTTGACTGCGATGTTTTCCCATTTCAGACCACGTGTGGTTTTATATAGAGATCAAGATTCTTTGTTTGAATATTAGATTYATTGTRTTCTCATGCGTAACCGTTAAACAAAGAAATSATACTCTAGGGAATGACACRTGGTCTGAAATAGGGAAAGCTGTAAAGGTTTATCATTGGTATTTGTTTGRAGTACTGAGATCATTCTAATAATGTTGTTGCTGCTTGGTCCACTCAGGTCGTGATTGCATCAGTAAACAAGATGTGGAAGAGATAAACGAATTGTTCTATGATGCCAAATCGTCTGCTAAACTGCTAGCAGAGAAAGGCGACAAGTACATGCAGTAAAAACTAGACTTTCCCCTCCCCCCTTAGTAGATCAATCACTTCTCACCAGGCCTCTCCCTACTCCCTCGAGTGCCGAAGACAGTGACCGGAAGAAGAATCTATTCATAGGCTAATATGTTCTGACGGTGTTTAGTGAATCTTAATATTTAATCATGGTGTGCTAACGTAATGCTGTAGAGCAGTTTTCGTATGACTGTGAAAAGCTTGGTGTCGTATACGTGTCTTGCCGAGACCGTGATTTTTTCTAGAATTTTCAGTTTGTATGATTTTTTTTCTCGCTCTCGTTCATTCCGTGTTTCGGGCAATTTGATTGGATGGAGAGTAATTTCGCGCGCAACGTGATTGGTCCGGCGTATGCTTTGCCTTGTCACGGCCGTGTACGTGCTGCCAATTTTTTAATAGTTATACGAAAACTGCTCTAGTTTATTTCATTCAAATCGACGGGTTTATCCCAGGCCACTTAAAAGCCATCAGTACTCCTCAGACGAAGGTGGCTTACACTCCCACTAAGTTGTTATCAATAACTTTTGCATTTTTCTTAATCTGAAGTGTGTCTAGATTATTTTTATGTGTGGCCGGTTAAGGCGTCTGTCCAGCTATTGCTAATTTAATAAACATTGTACTGTTTATCATGGATATTATTAAACTCGCTGTTTTTGAAGCTTACTGGATTCCTCGAGTGATCAAGTTTCTAATGGACGATACTCTTATTCATGTTCTTACTGAATACAATTGCCCTATAACACTACGAAAAGACACGAAAACTATCTTTCGTTTTGAGTGAAGCAAAGGTTTTAAAACTGATTTGAGAATAACTTAAAATAAAAATAAATGTTGAACAAGTCCTGTAGTCTTCGTCAGAGTTATAGATCTATTGGTCGATCTTTTGTTGTACCGCTAAGATTCATGGTCGTGGTTGGGGAACAAAAGTAAACATTAACGACTCAAAAAATAAATTACAAAAAAAAATGTGTTTTTGAAACTAGTTAGAAATAGGCACCAAATACTAAATATATATTGTAGGATAAAGTACCGGTTTATAAAATGTTMGTAAACCAGACATAGTGCTTACAATTCAGCTGCAGAGTGAATCTAGACAAAATTCTTATTATTCTTCGCCCCTTATAAACAAGCTATAATTTAGACTTACTCCATAAGTCGGTGTTTTCGCTCTTTTGTCGATCGACCACAACCCAAAAACGAGCGAAAACTACGACTTATGGAATCAGTCTAGCTGTGATGGTGATATAAGGCAATTCTTGTAACAGACCAAACCTTTTCTGTTTCCCTATATGTTAGTTGTACTTCTACTATCTCGCCTTTTTCGAGCTTGATACAATATAAGTACATGTTTCTGGTTTGTTAAGGCTGGTAAAGCATTCCTCGCCAGCGAGAAATTGACTTGGGATAACCTTGATCAACCTGTTTGGTTTCACAGTTAAACCGGTAATACAGGCTTCCCTTGAAGAAGTAGGTGTGTCCGTTACTCCACACRAATACTGAGTCAATATTGTCTGGTATACCTTTCCAGAAGTTGCCAATGGGTCGTGGATAACCTTGGTCGATCTGGAAGGTCGTGTCGTTAAACCTGTAATATTCAGACCCCTTGAAGAAGTATGTTATGCCATTTACATATCTGATGAGATAAAAGCATTAGATTTTTCATTCCAGAACCTGGATCTTTCAATTTCGTGATACACGTATTTCATTACGTCATTGCCAAAGGCAATAGGCGAAAAGGAATAGGAGATAGGTCATTCCAAAATCCAAGAATAGCTGGAATGACTTGTGTTTCTGCTACTTATTCTTGTCAAGAACATAGACCTTGGTGTTGAGGCTGATTCGTTTTGTTTGTAGTCGACAATTAAACCATATTTCCGTTTCGGAATGACCTATCGGCTTTGGTGATGACAACGTTTTTTGAGTTAGATGCAAGGTAAAAAAGCAATTCTTTCAAATGCATTTTTCCTGTTAAAGCCGCGATAACACTAAGCAATTTTCTCTGCATCTTGTCTCGCAACGGTTGCGACACAAGTTGCATGGAGCATTGCAGCGTGTAACCTACAGCGCAATTTGAAAAATGTTGCGAGACAAGTTGCAGTAATCGTTGCGAAAAGTTGAATTCCTTTCTACTTTTGGCAACGATTGCAAAGTGTACGGCACTCTTGCAACTTGTGTCGCAACGCAGTAAAAATGGAAAAATATGGGGGGAAAACTATGAAAATTGCGCCTAAAGTCGAAAGCCACTTTGCAGGCAATAGTTATATTTTTCACACCTGAAAACAGCATCTAAACCATGAGGAACGCCTTTCCAAAAATATACTATAGGTTTTGGATATCCAAGATCCAGCTCGCCAGCGGTTACATTAAAACGAAAGTACTTGGTCCCCTTGAAGAAGTACATTCTCTTATTACTCCACATGAATCCAGTATCTATATTTGTCGGTAGCCCTGTCCAGGATGACGTGATGGGCTTGGGATATTGAAAGTCGACATGGTAAAGGTTGTCGTTGAATCTCCAGTATTGGTTTCCTTGGAAGAAGTAGGTGAAGCCATTACAGTGCCTAGATCATATGATAATTAGGATTAGAGATAAAAAACGAAGCTGCTTTAATGAAGCTACTTTGCAAGCCGCAAGGTAGTGGATAGGCTCAGATCTCCAGCTGTCGGGGCTTAGACAATCTCGTACCCAGAGCCGAGGAAGAACAAGGGCTCTGGCATAATTTATTTTTTTGAGATCAGATTTCTTGAACTTCCGGAACTTCCGAGCGCATGCGTTAAAAGACTTGCCAAAAAAAATTGTGTTCCCGATTTTTATTTTAATTGGAAGTAAACAGGGAACTCTGTTTTGAAAAATGAAGAAATGCCAGAAGAAGCCCAGAAGAAACGCAGGCTCTAGGGGAAGGGGTTGGGGCTTCGTTTGCTCGCGTTAATATGGGAGAGATGATAGCGGGCGCACGCAGCCCCGAAGGCAATCTGAGCCTTGGTAGTGGAGCCGGAGGTATAATTTCCAATAAATTATTTTAACAAAATATTTCTCATTAGCGTCCATTGTTAACCGCACCAAGATGGCCACCATGCATTTTTTTTTTTTTTTTTTTTTTTTTTTTTTTTTTTTTTTTTTTTTGGCTTTTGTCTCTCTTGGGATCGGATATGCTTGCAATCCATTAATATAATTTTTCCTGGTTGGCAGTGAATGGTGGTCGACGGTGCTTGATCACTATTTGAAGCAGATAATAAGATTTAAAGACTTCTATCAGCTGACTGAAACATAGCCATACATCATGACCCACCTGAATAGAGTGTACCAAGACAGTTCCATTGTCCCTTGCCACCATTCCCTGACTGGTTTAGGGTACCCATGAGGTACTCCCACTGCTTTGTTACCGTGAAGGAAGAACCAGAACTGAGCATCCTTGAAGAAATACACCCCTCCATTGTACCAGGAGATGGCAGCTTCGATATCCTTGGGTACATCTACCCAGTAATCGCTTATGGCTTTGGGGTACCCTTCATCCACGTGACGAGTTTTAGGGTTAAATCGATAGTATTGCGAACCTTTGAAAAAGTACGTGTAACTATTGGCTGAGCTGTGGATGGAAATTTTGACCCGTTTCTCATTATCAATTACCTTAGACTCGAATGTTAATATAGAATAAATAATTCTTTTACTTACCTAATGACGTCATCAATATCCGAAGGAACGCCTCGCCAAAAATCGTTGATAAGCCGAGGAAACCCGGGGTCGACTCGGCTGCTCGTATCGTTRTAGCGAAAATAGTACTTGCCCTTGAAAAAATAGGTTATTCCATTACCGTATCTAAAGACTCCATCTATGTCGGACGGCACACCAGGCCAATGAGATGTAATGGACCGTGGATAGCCTGGGTCAAGCCCAGGTCTTGACTCGTTATATCTGTAGTAGTTGGAGCCTGAGAACAAGTATACGTACCCATTGGACCAGCGGAATATGGCGTCTATTGTACAAGGCTCTGGAAAGAAAGAAAAGCATCTGGTCTGTATAATTATTCAATATCTGGCTTTAGCTTTATCGCTTATTGACGTGTTTAGTAAAGAGAATACAATTGCTGGGTCTCAATCAGCTRATAAAAGTATTWGAATCTAATTATCTGCTTCAAATGGTGGTCAAAAGCTGACTRCCATTTGCTGTCAACCGGAAGAAAAACTAGTTTCGAAGTTGCGATTAATCTGATGAACATTCCTATCGAGACCGGAAATGACGAATGAGACCCAGCAATGAAGAAGGTAAAAATTGWTCATGATTGAGCAAACAAAGGCAGCATGTAGTGTGTGCAGAAGGTGAACCTACGTTGAGGCATCTTCATGAGACTTGGTCTGTACTTCTCTAGGGCCCACTTCATGCGTTCAATTTGACCTGTTGTGAATTCTGTCATACAGGCATCGTTCGTATCTGATATGATCCATGTSAAACATGAAAGTCAAAAAACAGCTAGAACCATTACCATACATAAGATTGCATGCTACTAACATCCCTTTGATTCTCTTCACCACGATTCAGGACTTTAACAACATCATCAAAACCTGACCTAAATAAGAAACTAGAGAAAAACCTTTGCGAATACTTGTATTTAGGAACATTTTACAATAATTCAACGGAGAGTCAGTGAGAACAGAAATGTTCGTTTTCTCCGACTGTAAGCCAAAGATTTTGGCACTATACTTTTGTGAGGCCAAGACATTGTATTAATAAAGTTAAGAAGATATGAAAGAATTAGCTTTACATTTCAAATACTGACTTAAAGTGTTGAAATTGGTAAAGTATATTTATCAGACAAGTTTGAAAGTCAAATTTGCATACAGAGTACGCGCATGTGCAGACGTTTTTCTCTCGTGTCCCTTCATAATCAATTATCATCAACGTCCTCTATCACTGATATCCATACCATCATTTAGCTGCTGTAGCACRATTAATCACTCACATTATCTTAACTATAATTGCGAATCACCTTCATTATCATAAGGGTTAACCATCATATATCCACGTCATTGGCGGATCCAGAAATTGAAAATGGCCGCCACGCAGGAAAAGCTGGTAAGATTGGCTTCACAAAGGGGGTTCCAATTTAATTCTACTGACTGTAAAGAACATGATTGACTTCAAAAGATMTCACGAAAGGGGGTTCCATGGTAAAAACCTCTGGATCCCCCACTGCTCATCACCTCAATACTCACATCCCATATAATTTCTGACGGGATCTTTTCCTGGTTGTTCTGGACAGGTGTCTGTGTCTGTGGATGGACAGCCGTACGATGGTTTACTCCTGGGTGTGTCATGCACTCCGTCATCCATGTTGTTACATTCCCCCTGCACAACCAAGAATTAAAAAAGCTCTTTTACTATATGGTCCTTGTTTTACGAGGGTATAGCCAGTGGCTAGCGAAACTGTGGCCCTCGATCCATGATCACATTGGAATTTAAAAGTATAAATTGAATCGTATAATATCCATATCCACGCCATATCGACGAGTTCACTTCTTGACTTTTAGACTTACCTCAAAAACGTGAAAAAGGCCAAAATAGTGACCAACCTTAAAGATAAAAAAAGAAAAGCTTGGTGAAACCAATGGCAAAAAATGTTGAATGCTATATATTATAAGCTGATAACTTTTAGTTTGCTACTAGCATTAATCCGATTGTGGGTCTGATGTATCGGTGGGTGTTTAAGCTATGTTAGGAGCGCCATATTTTCCACCCTTACCTACCTCATGTACCGTATTCTTTCCTTCATTGATAGGAGCATAACTACCCCCAGGTAGTGTGTCTGGGTGAACAACTATACCATGATATACACTATCCTCTTCGTACCACCAGGGCATCGCTGCACTACCTATCGTACTTTCTAGAACACTAAATTTACAAGTGTACAAATTTAGAGTACTACTTGGGGACTGGGACAAGGCGCGCATGAAATCTGGGGACATTGCAAGACAGTTCTTGACCCAGGCATCGTTAGCTGTGTAATCAACTGAACTCTAAAAARAATAAAAGGAAAATGAAAAATAACATCACAAATCATACAGCCAAAGTGAAACTGGGACTTCARACTGTGGTGTGTGGTCGGATCAACTTAATACAGTCATGCTCATTGTWTGGTCTGACTTTATTTGTAATTTTTTTTCGTCATTCCCTATGATACATTGCTGTTTGTGCGTAACCAGGGGAAATACCGCACATGTTATGATGAAGAATGATCAGAACATGCTGTACATGCATCTTATGATATTTAAAGATGCATAGGAAACACCCAGAAACAAACAGGACGAATTTTGAAGAACACTTGACTTCTTGATGTTTTGAACGTTAAAAATTAACTTCGAATGAACTGAAAACCAGATTTTTACGGGTAAAAAAGTTATATTGCATTTTTGATTGAAGTACGTGTATTTTCCTGACAGGTTTTTTTTTTTTTTTCTTTTTTTCTTTTTTACGGTTAATCCCCAAAAAGCAAAACATTAAATGCATACATGGGATGTAAAAATGAAGATTATACGATTCATTTTAAATGATGGGAAATCTACCGTGATACAGACTTGTTTGTGATATTTAATGGGGGCGGGTACAAGATAGAAAGGGACAAATCGTCGATTATTTAGCTTACCATGTTGAAGATCATCGGTGTTCGTACAAAAGCATCTGAAACCAAAATTAAAATAGTCTTGGCCCGGTTGTACGAAGACTGGATAGCGCTATCCGACAGATAAATCGTATCCAGTGGATAAGTCGATGCTGTTATCCAATAATTTTATCCACTGGATAAGGATTTATCCGCCGGATAGCGCTATCCACCCTTCGTACAACCGGGCCCATRATGGTCAAAACGATAAATTAAAATAATAGAATGATTGACTATTAATGTCTAATAGACTAAAATACTGCACCTCGGTTGKTTAATGAAACCATGGGAAAAGTCACTTTGGTAAAACAAACTAATACTGAAAAATATCATCAGTTCCCCCACCCCCCTACCCCACCCTAGCTCACTCACCGTTCAACACTWTGACTTGTTTTTCAAGGGTCTCCTTTGCAACTTTTCCTTCGCCACTTGTYGAATGAATAACATGCCATGCCACAGGAATAACATACTTCTCGTGACATTTGAATTTTTCATTAAAGAGRGCATTAAAAGCATCTTTGTCTCCTTGGCTTCTCGACCTGGTTATCAGCTTCGAGTCAATAGTAGACATGAACGAGAATCCCGCGGTAGGTGTGCGTGCTAGTTCTGGATGGATTTTCATGGAGTCTCTGACTGCACACCTAGATCTTTGGTTAACTTGGACGTGGGTGTATACCAATACTGAAGAGACTGAYAACAGAATAAATCGAAACAATAGCCTAAAACCGGAAGAGAGAAAAGTAAAGAAAGAATTATTGCTAAGAAACTAATCCTGAGCTGAGATGCCCACCAAACATGGCAGCTCTCCGCGAGCCTTGCAAGGCCGCTTATACGGAAGCAAAGGGATAATATTATGACAATATTTTTACTAAAAACATCTTTATACAGTCGCACTCAGTGTTGAATACCAAGCACAATATGGATATATTGATCGGAATGTAAAGCTGTTTCAAAAACGTTTATTGAAGGGCCGAGTTTGTTGCATTAGGTGTCCATCTTTTCCGGAATGCTTTCTTCTCTGCTCACAGTACATGAATATATTACATCTCAAGCTTAATAAGCAACATGCAACAGAACCTTCACCATGCAATCTTTTTTGACATAGATATTTATTACTTCATAACTTAAAACTCATAGTATAGGGCCTTCTAGCTCACTATGTTCTACTCTAAGCACCTCCCCTCTTGCGTTGCGGCTTAACCATGAATCCATAGCTTATATCATTTAAGTCAATTTTGCACTTACACCGAGGACAGTCAAAGCATACAGCTCAAACTAGTTTTCAAACTTCGTCTTTTGTGGCAATTATGCGGCAAACTCGGGACTGACTTGATTGCAATGGTTTGTGTACTAAATATAATATAACTTTACTTGTTTAACCCACGATCTACTGACGTTGTTGTATTTATCAGTTCAGTGGTAATGTAGGTCTTTAAAGTGTAGTTTGGTTCGCTAGTGTAGCAACTCGACATTACCTACATTACATTGTGAATCTAGGAATCGATTTATTCATCTGATTATAACAAGACATCAATATACAAACCATGTAGTAAGGGTCTCCATCGTGTTCAGTCAAGTCATCCAAGGCAGTTCTCGGTCTATCGTCTATGGTGGGTACGAAGCAAAGCTAGCTACGCCGCCGGTCCAATTGTCTGCAGTTTAGTGACCAAGATATTTGCCGTATAGTTGTATATAGCTTTAAAAGGTCAACGTTACAACCAYCCGTATCTAACATATGCAAGTTTTATATATCGTGCCCAAAGAAAACCATATTCTATTAAGGGTATGAAGTGAGTAAGGTTCCGCAATGAAAGACCAAACGGGTCATAATCGAGTGGCTTGTAATGAATAATGAACTGTTCTGCTCCTTAATTATTCATTCTGGAATGTGTGTTTGTGTCAACATTCTTTTATTAAAAAACCTTTCACAAGAATTACATCAAAAAGCAAACAAAYTACAATAAAAGCATTCTTTCTATCAATAGTACTGCCATTCAAATGAAAGTTCTTGTGCTTTATGTACTTTAACATTTTAAGTCAACGAAAAAGTTCTTCGGAGTGGTTTTAATTTCTTGCTTTATTCCTTCATCTATCGACGGGATTTGGTTTATGYACACATTCTACAGCTCTTTTTACAGTAGACTTGCATGTATTCTTTGTRGGTTGAACAATAATTCCCGTTACTACTCCAAGCACTGCAGTTTTTGTTCTTGTCTTGACAGGGAGCTGAACAACAMAAAGAAACGATTAGAAAAATCAAATCATGAGAACCCTATAGGTAAAAAATAGATAATGTCCTTCA